TGCCTGAATTTGATTTCTGGTACGTGATGGGGTTATATATATATATATATATTTTTTAATTCGGTGTCTTATGTTTTGGTGTAGTGGAAACAATATTAAGTCATCAGGAAAAGGACTCGAGCTGCCATACCTGCCTGAATTTGATTTCTGGTACGTGATGGGGTTATATATATATATATTTTTTTTAATTCGGTGTCTTATGTTTTGGTTTAGTGGAAACAATATTAAGTCATCAGGAAAAGGACTCGAGTTCCAGTTCTGACTTTGCTATATACTTACAGAGTGTGCAACCCTAAATGTCATTATCCTTCTCATGTGTACCACAAGCTTCAAACTTCCTTCCAGCCCATTATCCTCTATCCATTATCCATTATCCTGTGATTTTCAAAACAGGGCAAGCATAGGTTTTGAATGTAGGCTCCCCTCCAGATAAGCGATTCGGCAGTAGCTAAGGTCCCTGACATTTTTCAGGAGCCTCTGACTCCCCGGCCTCTTCCATCTCTTAGAAAATATTAATAGCCAAGGGCCTTGCTGACTGTGGTTTTAATAGAATCCAATTTCAGTCCATTTACTGAGGGACTTTTCATGCTGACTCGGTAATTTGAACTCTGCCATGCCTGATGGACTCGATGCATTTTCCCTACCTCCCCTGCCCTCTCTAGGCTGCAGAAGGCTTTGGAACAGGGAGTGGCACGTTTTATTCAAAGCAGCTGCAGATCCAGGATTTAACCGCACAACCACTCTTGTCTTTCCTGCCCGAGGCATGTGATGATATGAGGGCACCGGTATCTGCAGGATCATGGGCAGTGACCACAGATAGTTGCCTCTCCTTGTAGCTCAGAGACTCTTGGCCTCTGGGTAGACTGTCAGGAAGAAAACTGTGTGGCTCTTTGGCTATACCTGGAGGACAGCTGGTTCTGGGAGCCATCAGCATTATTCCCACTGACTGCTGTTGAGTCTTTGCTATACCTGGGAAGGGCGTGGTGCAGAATGGGGCTTCCTCCATTACCGCTTGGCCCGATCCCTCCTCTGTAAGGCAAGAAAGTGGAACGGCTGAGCACTTGTCTTTAAGTATAACCCAAGGGCTTGTCGGGAAGTCACTTCCTTTTAGAGAACAAGGTGTGGGACTGTTGAAGGTAAGCATATAGGTATTAGCAGCCGTACTATAGATAGGGAAACTGAGGCTGAAGAGTGTGGAGATCAGATGGGAAGTATGAGGCCTGACTGGCCTCGTGGGTGAACGTTGAGGAGAAAGAGGGCATGCAAGTGTGTAACACGCTGCAAGCAAAAGTAAAAACACCTGAGGTGAAGTCGTTTACCCGGAGAAGTACCACGGGAGGTGGGAGACAGATGAAGCCTGTGGAACGCTAATTGCTTGTGCCTGTGTCTGGGTGAATAAAGCCAAGGTGAGCCAGTCACTTGGGGCTCTAGGTCGAAGGGAGACGTGAGCCCCCAACCCTCAGGTTTTGACTTGTTTCTGTGTCTCTCTATTTTTCATCTTCCTCACTGCTTGGTCAGGCTTGAGCTCAGCTTGTGGGCTGGTTCCTACAGAGGAGGGGGTTGGGAAGGAAAAGAATATTTACTCTATGCTTATTTGGTACCAAGCACTGAGCTGGGAGAGAGTTATTTAATTCCCTCAGCACCTTTTACAAGGATATAACATTATCTCTATGTGTAGACTAGGAGCACATGGGTCAGTAAGTTAAGCAACTACCCCAGGGTCACACAGCTAGTAGATGTTAAAGCTGGTATTCAAACGAGGCCTCATCTGTCCTCTCCCATACGTCATGTGGTTTGAAATGGTGAGACCAGGTGCTTTGAAGTGGCTTTGCTAGTCTACTTCAGCAGTGGCCTCTTAACATGCCTGTTGCCCAAAACATCTCAGAATATTCTACAGACTACAGTATTCCAATGAGGCTGATTCGTTTTTGGTATGAGGCAGAGCCCGGGCTTAGGTATTTTAAAGAAGCTTTTCCAAGTGATTGTTATGTTTTGGAAAGCACGGGACTGGAACACGTATGTGGCTTTTCTGTTGACTTCATTTCTCAGAAGCACAGATCCAGTCCAGCCCTTCATTTGCCACAAGCAACATCTGCCACCAAATCCATTATTCATGGCTTCCAGGTTCAAAGCTTAACAACTTTTCACTACCTAGAATGTGCCAGGTGCTGGCTACAAAGGCAATAAACCTTGCTGTCGCTTTGAGGGACATCCAGGTAGAGGGAGAGATAAATGTGACAAGGAAATTCCAATTAGTTGTAGCAGAGGTAGCTTTGTTTTGCTTTGGGAGCACAGACCAAGGTTTTGCAACAGTGAGTCTGCAGGATCGAGACCCACAGGAGCTAGCAGACAATGAGATGGTGGAAGGGCTGAAGAACAGGCAGTGAAACAGAGGAAACAGCGTGGAAAGTCCCATAGGCCCTACACAATGTTCAGGGCTGTGTGGTAGTGGAATGGGGGGTACCTTAGAAAATGGGCAGAAAATAAGCCTAGAAACACGAGATGGAGAAAATACACAGAGAGGAGTGTGTACTGTGTTAAGGGGTTCAATCTTTATCCAAAAGTAATGAGAAGCCATGGAACATTTTTACGCTGTGGAGTGACATGATCAGATCATGTTTTAGCAGAGTCACTGTGACAGAGATTAGAGGATAAACCGGAGGCAGGAGAAGCTGGCAACAGAGCAACAAATTAATTGCAGAATTATGAATTTATGTATGTCAGAAAGCACCATAAACAAAATTGGAAAGAAAAGCACTTGGGAAGCATATCTGCAGCATTTCTTGACAAAAATAATATTCTTAAAATTACAAATTGGTAAGAAAGATAAACATACCAATACCAAATAAATAGAAAATTCATAAAGAAATAAATACAAATAGTCATAAGCATATTAAAATGTTATTCACTAATAAAGAATGTTAAACTAACATGTGGAAATAACAATGACATATATTATTTTGCCTATCACATTAGTAAAGATTCATCCAGTGTTGGGGTGCAGGGGACAGCACACTCAGGAGGCCACAAATAGGACACTATTTTGATATAAATTTGGGGGGAGGCAGTTGGCAACATGTATAAAAATTCTATTTATTAAAAATAGCCAAGCAATTTCCTTATTGGATTATATCCTAAGGAAATAGTCATAGATATGTGCAAAAATTTAGCTACAACAATGTCAGTTGCAACATTATTTACAGTAAAGGTTGGAAATAAATAAAATAATCACTACTGGGAACTAATTACAAGATGAGGGTAAATCCATTTAATGAAGATGCCATTGGGTAAGTCTGAAAGACATGCAGAAAATGCTTATGGCATAGTAATGGAGCAAAAAATTGTCACACGTGCTACCATTTTTGAGTCATAAAAGAATATATGTGGCTGTCTGCAAATGTGTACCTGTCGAGGAATGTACAAAAAATTAGAGGGAAATTTGATGTTGCTGGACAGGGCAGGAAGACTGACTTTATGGAGTTTTTGTATTTGTGTATTTTGCATCTGTGTATTACATATCCTAAAATATATACACTTTGAAAAGTCATTTATTAAAGAGCACATACAGCATTGATCTGTTATTGTTTTCATTTAAAAAAAAAAACTGTGCACATGTGTATATGTTTACCAAAAAGAACTAAAAGATAACATCCAAAAGGATAAAAATGTGCTGTCTTGGTGAATCTTGTCATTTTTTCCCCTAAATTTTGTACAATATACACATGAGACTTTCATACTTAAACAAAAGGTCTAATTTTCCCCCTGAAGAATCTACCACAAAAGTCCAAGCAGGAGATGATGACGTGGGTCAGATCCGTGATCAGTGCTCAGTCTGTATATGGTAGTTCAACAGTGATATCTGAAAAGCATGTGATAAAATCACTGTCACTATTTTTAGGAGGGGCAGAGAGAAGAAAGCTGGAGATTTAGTAAGGTGAACAAACCTGATTTTGCTTAACAGCTCTCTGAAGTCTCTGCTGGACAAATGCACAGAGAATTCAGCCCTACCACCCTCAACATTAATACAGCATGCAACTGTTTTGGGTGGATCGGTTAACTTTGGGTCACAGTGAATAAAGCACTATATTAAGCATGTGGATCTAAGTGACCAGACAAGACAATGGGCCTATGCGCTTGTTCTAATGAGGTTGTGAGAAGATGTCCTGAACTAGTTCTGGTTTCTAGGATTTCTTCTTGGGGTGACAATAGTCTTATACCCATCTGTCCAGTTCTACCTCAACCTACTCATTTAAGTAAGATTTCTCTCCTGCTTCATGTTGGGACTAATCACTTAGAATCCTTCCTGATGCATGAAGAACAAAGGTATACACTGCCTTTTTGAGTTGGTTCTGCAGGTCACCTTGGACCTCATCTTCATTCTTCAGATGCTAACAAACAGGTTGACAACTCACAAACTTTCTAGTCTGTAGACTTGGGAATGAGAGCGTTTTGCATGTATGCCTATGCTGGGCCTGAGAGTAGTTTTGGGCTATTTGTGGGAAGCCATTATAGCAGAAGAGAATAGAGGAAAAGATATTGCAAAGGTAGGGGAACAGGAGCAGGGAATGTGGCAGCTGGGAGGGCTTCATCATTTTCCTCTTCTCCAGGGTGAGAACTAGAGGTAGGCAACTGGGGACCCCTGGATATTTCTAGCACCTTCTGGCAGCCCCATTGAAACCCTTTGGGAAGCTATGTGAATACGACCTGTGATGCCAGCTTGTGGGGCCCCTTGGCAGTGATTGGATCTTGCAGTGGCAGAGCCTCTGTCTAAACAAATATCCCATAATTAGCTTTGTGTTTCCTTTCAGTCTGTATCTGTATTCGTTGTTCTTCCCCAGTGCTGGGAGTGGGGTGGGGAGCGAGATGCTAGGTGGGTTGGTTGATACATGCTGGCCCCATCAGCAAGTAGAACGGACAAAACGCAGAAATCCCTGCTAGGTCTCAGGCGCCTTCTCGTGGCCTGCCACTGTTCCGGCCACTAGGGCTTTCGATCTCTGGCCTTTTACTGCCTTGGGTAAATGCAAGAGAAGGCCCGTGTGACACACGGTGAGGAGTTTTCAACTTAGCACATGTCGTAGTAATCTCACACTGGTGCAACTCCTCAACAAAATATATACATGGAGCCAACTAATTATAGATTACTAACTAGAGCTCTGAAGTCAGACATAGCTGGTTCAAATACTCACTGCGTCCCTCAAGGCCATGCAACTCTGGGATAGTTAATTTTTCTGGTTTCCAGTTTTCTTATCTATCGCATGGGAAGAGAAACTCACAGAATAAGTGCATAAAAAAATGAGATTGTCCATGTAAATATCTGAAGATAGTACATTTAATAAATCCTAACTATTAACATTATTGCATCTGTATATATTTTGATTTTATACATTATTGTCTCGCTAATCACACAAAAAATACATGAAAGTGCTTTGAAAATGTTTAAGCATTATATAAGTTAAAGGTGTCATTGGTAATAATCTCATATGCATTTCTATCTCCTGGGAGACGAGGATGACATCCTGTGTCCCATAGTGTATTGCACTACAGTGAGTGAACAGTGAGTCCTCAGTAACTGTCTCTTGTTTGACAGTTCTTATGTCATAAGAGCATAGATATTTGGAGACTAGGCTGTGATAAAATTAGTGTAAGGCAGGAGAGTCAGTCTGCAGTCATAATTTATTCATTCAACAAATATTTGTTGAACACATTCTACGTACTAGATATTGAATTCAGCTAATCTCATCAGAAAGAGGCTGTACAAGTTCCCACAAAGCCAAGGCCCCAGGGCTGTCTCCACAATCCCAGCCCACAATGAAAAGCACAAAGGCCGCAGCCAGCATTGTGTACAGCACCGGACAAATGGCCAGTTGCTGTGGGGGACGCCCCATGCTTCCTGGCTGTAAGCAGCTCAGACTGTGGCTTGGGGCAGGCGTAAAAGTGAGGGAGTGGGCTGTTTTCAACAGAAATGACAGGAACTGCTGCCCATGAGTTGATGGTCCATAGTCCAGTCCTACACGATGCTCTTTCCCTTGGGTGTCATTACCTGTAGGTCTGCTCCACCCCACCCTTGGCCCACTTCACCCTGCCCTTCTGCTGTCACGGCTTCCTACTGGCTGGGGGTTGGGGGAATGGTATGTGGGGTCACTGAAGGACATCGAGAGTGGGCTGCTGTGGCATGTGAATCCTGGCAGAGATTCAGATCTCCGAGAGGGAGAGAAGAAAGCACAAGCCAAGACAACACGTGAGGGTGGGTGGCAGGGGCCAAAGTCCTGGAGGGAGTTGGGTGTGCCAGTGTACAAATTCAGTCTCTATGTCGGCCTAACCAGTACTTCCAGTGTTTGTATCATCCTTGGCTTTGTTATAATTGCCTTGCGATGCTGTGGTCCATCAGGAAGGTTTGGAAGGGTCCAGGTTGTAGGTGCCTACCTGCTGTCCTTGGGATGGTACACCTGCCAGGCTCTGCCTCTGACAGAAGCTCTTGTCAAAGGCAAAGCCACAGTGGCATCCCCAGCCCACGAAGTTAGGCTTCCCAGCTGTCCCAGCAGAAGTTAGGCCTCTTCCGTCATTGACCTGCTAGAGAACAGAACGGCTTCCTGTCTGGGTACCTCTCAGAGATTCCAAATGTGCTTTTCACCTTCTTTTCACATTAGGAGTAGACAAAGAGTTGGGGTGGGGGTGATGGAAAGAGGAAGGGGGAGCTGAAAGAGGTGGGGGAAAGAGACAGAACTGGGCGGGCTGTCCACCGGGGGTGCCTGGAAGTCCCTGGTCGGGATGGGTGAAGCTCTGGAGGGCCTTCCTAATTACATGGCTTCCTTCTCTCTCTGGGAGCATCTGCTCAGCTTCATCTCCGTCAGCTGGATGTACCGAATCACATTGGTGTCTGTGAGGAGAGAAATACACCTTAGGGACGCCCAACAAGGGCAATCAGTGCGTCTACTCAGAATGGGGCCGAAGCTGGATCTGGTGCTCAGGGACAAGCCTGACTGTCACTACACCTAAGTCCCTTCCCGCAGTGATGGCTGAAAAAGCAGTCAGATGTTGGTCCATTCCTTCATGCCCCTCAGCAAATATGGACAGGTTACTGTGACCCAAGGGACAGATGAGGGAGTATTTCTTCCTATTTCTCTGAAGCAATAACCCCAGAGGTTCGCAACTCAGCACAGTTGGTGGAGACTGACTGGAAATTAACCCGAGGCAAGTTACCAACTTCTTTGACTCTTATGTCTCATCTGCAAGAAACAGCCTTCACTGCTGAATGCCTACTTTGTGTCAGGTTGCAACCCTCCAGTATCTCATGTAATCTTCCCTGCAACCCTGCAAGGCAAGCATCCTCATCCTCACAGTGACAAAAGGAAGGCTGGGTCCTGGAGAGATGCAGTAAGGTACCCACAGAGACACACAGGATGTGATGTGTCTCACTGCACAGCCTGCGTCTCCTGGGGATTGTAATACCCTTCTCACAAAGCTGCCGTGAGGACAAAAATAGAGAAGGCTAAAAGTGCTTAATACAATGATCAATAAATAAATATGTTTCTTAACTTGAGGAGTTTAAAATATCATCGCCTCATTGTCCTCTTTTTGTCTTAATAAGTGGGGTCAACCACCTTTCCACAAATGGAGCATTTCCCCCCAACTCTGATCGTTAAGTTAGTGAGCAGGAAATGACATAGAACAATTGCTTAGCTCTGTACACACCAGAGCAGAAGAGTTATAGGTTGACCCAGTATAGTATATCTATTTCCAGAAGTAGAAATTAATACTGGATGCTTAAAAGTACCAGACAGAGCATCCAGAATAGCACTGAGATATATTAGGTGTTCAAGAAAATTCGGTTGAATGAGTCCAGTTCTTAGTCCTCAAGTTGCTTATGGTTTAGTTTCTGGGACACAATTTATATATAGGAAAAAACTAACGCATGAAAATAAAGAGGTAGTCTTTCAAAAGGCAAAATAAAAATTATACATTTGGATATTTGCAAATAGATCCTCAAGTTTTTAAAGACTCCACAGAAGAAGGATAACATTAAAAAAAACGAACAACAACAACAACAACCAGATGTTGTAGTGCCTCTAATCCCAACACTATGGGAGGTTGAGGGAGGAGGATAACAGGTTCTAGCTCAGCCTGGGCAACTTTGCAAGAACTTGTCTCAGAATTTAAAATCTTAGAGACAGATAGGATGTAGCTCTGTGCAAAGAAAGGCCTTGGGTTTAATCCCTAATACCACAAAAACAAGCAAACGAACAAAAAAGTCAGCCATCTGAATAACAACAATGGCAACAACAAGTCAAAGCCATTGTCTAAGTGTTGCCTCTTCAAAGAGACTCTGTCTACCTTGTCTAAAACAGCACTCTTTTTATTGTGTTTTACTTGCTTTATAGCATTTACCACTACTAAATAAATAATACATCATCTGTCTGGTTGTACACTATCTATTTTCCTCCATTATAATGGCAGTTCCTTGAAGGTAGCAACTTCCTTTGGTTCACTACTATGTAATCACCACCAACAATAGTTTCCAGGCCACTGTATCCCTCGATAAAAACCTGTGGGATGAATGAATAAGTGAATGACTGGGTGAGCTAAAGTACATGAACTAAATGAATAGTGTAGGTAGCACAGCTCTGAGAAATGGGATCTCAGTGGAGAAGTCAGAGCATGGATCGTGAAAGAGACTGGGCTTTGCATCATAATTGTCTGTTTGTATTCTGTCTTGCCTACCAGATGTGGCTTCCTCATGGGTAGGGACTGCGTCTTGTTATTTATATCCCTGGTGCCTGTCACAAATTGTGATGATAAATAGTAAGACTTCGACATGTATTTATTGGATAAGTGAAGAGAGGTAGATTCTAAACTGGAAAGGCTGAAACATTCTGTGGCTTGCATGCAGGGAGGAGGTGCCTGTGCTCCCTAGAACCTAGAACCCAGGTAAATGCATGGACAGTGTGGTCTCCTCATTCTAGGGCCTGCATAAATCTGACCCCTAGTTTGGCAGCTCTGCCCCTACCTGGCCCTGCAGCCATGGAAGCTGTTTGCTGCAACAAGAAGGCCTAGTAGCTGCCAGGGATGCTGACAGTGAGAAAGCAGCAGTTGCTGCCTTACCTGTTGGTTGTCGTGTCCTTGCTTCTTTCAGGTAGTAGAGTGCTTTGTCATAGTCCCCAAGGTGGTAGAAGGCCACACCAGATCGGTAAAGGGCCTTGAAGTTCTCTCCTTCCTTTTTCAGGACTTTGAGGCAATACTCCTTGACTCGTTCATAGTTCACCAGCTCAGCTTGGAGCAGGCAGGCTATGGATGAAGGGAGAATAATGGGAAAAGGTCATTAGTGCAAAAGTGGCGGGTCCTAAATGTCTCTAGTTCCTTCTTCTCAAAGGAAGTTTAACAACACTGGGGCTTTTCACTGGAGTTTATGCGTGGAATGTGCCATCTAACAATCCTGGGTTCAGGATCAGTTTTATTACTAACAAGCTATGTGGCCTTAAGCAAGTTACTTAGCTATGTGTTATGGGTCAAATTATGTGTCCCCCAAAAGACATGTAGACGTCCTCTTCCTGCTGAGGATGTGACCTGATTTGGAGATGGGGGTCTTTCTAGATTAGTTAAGTTAAAGGAAGGTCAAGAGAGTAAGCCCTAATTCAAGATGACTAGCGTCCTCATAGAAGGGGAAATTTGGACACAAATTCAGACACACACAGAGGACAGACAATCGGAAGAAACACAAACAGAAGATGTCATCAGCCAAGAAGTACCTGAGGCTACCAGAAACTAGAGGAGGAAGGCATAGAACTGAGTCTCCCTCCCAACTCTCAGAAGGGCCCTGCCACCAGCACCTTGATCTTGGCCTCCTAGCCTCCAGAACTGTGAGACAATAATTTTTGTCACTTTAAGCCACTCAGTTTGTGGGACTATAATGTAGCAGCAGCTCTAAATAAACTATCAGAGGTAAGAATAATAATAATAACAATAACTGCCTAATATTTGTTGAATGCTTACCTCGTGTGAGATGCTTTCCTCATCATTCCACATGTATTATCTGATGTGATTCTCAGAAATACCGTGGCACAGATACTACTCTTACTCTCATTTTATAGGTGAGGAAACAGGCTCAGAGAGCTGAAGATGGGAAAGAGCCAACAATGAGATTTAAACCAAACCAAACCAACAAAACACCCCCCCCAAAAAAAAACAAACAAAAAGACTGCTGCTTTCCAACAAGCCCTGGCTAGAGGGAGGTCTTTGAGCTCAGGTTGGAAGAAGCGTCTTCAGGACGAAGGCATGTTACTACTGCTCTTAAGGGGTCCAACTTCACTTGTTTTGATCCCTTAAGTAGCTTCCCAGGCACGAGAACCACCAACTGGAGCTTTCATTGCACATTTAAACAAACAACAAACAAACAAGCAAGCAAACAAAATATTTTGCAGATGGAAGAGGAGGTGAACCACACAGATTCTCAAGTCGAAGGAAATGAGAACCAGGAAGGGAAAGAGAACCAGCTCAGATCTAAAAACTGACCTATAGGGTGTCACTAGTTGCACACCTAAAAGCGAACCAGTCAACAGGGCAGAGAGTGGCTCAACCCCAGGTTCACCATTGTTCTCAGGAACCATAATCTGATGCTGCACTGGGGGCTCCTTCCTCCCCATGAGCCGATAGCACACTCCACTCTCCCTTCCTCTCTCCTCCCCAGTCCATGTCATTGGTGCTTTGCAGACAGAGAAGGGTTCTGTACAGAGGTCCCTGGATATGAACACCACTGACTGCTGGTGGGTTCCAACATCTGCTTCCAGAGTTTAAGGATTTCCTGTGAGTAGCTTCCCTGTGCCTGGTCTGCTGTCCTCTCTGACAGGCACAGCGGCTACTTCGAGTCCAGTCCTCTATCTTCAAACACATACCTCTGTTTGCTGACCTGGGCACAGTCTAGGAAATAGACCTTTGTTTCTTGTAAAACTAGTTTTTGTAAAAAAAGAAAGAAAAACACAACAAACAAATAAAATAGTTTTTTACTGTCTAAAGTAGCAGGGAAATGAGCTGGAGATTTAGCTCAGTGGTGCCGCTGCCTGCCTTGCAAGTGCAAGGTCTGGAGTTTGATCCCTGGTACCAAAAAAAAAAAAAAAA